CCCCAAAACCCCAAAACCCCAAAACCCCATGAAGTGGTATTTTCATGAATTAATTGAGGCTGAGGAAAATAAAAATAAATGAAATGAGCGAGATAATGGTATAATCTCGAAACTAAAAACATCAGATCACAGCAATGCGATCTTAAGACATATACACAGATTCCCAATCTAAGAATTTACTTGTTGTCGATTAGAACAATTATTAGGAAGACATCTAGTCAGAAAAATCAAATGTAGAATCAGTTGCGGAAGATGATGAAGTGTCCTGCCTTAACGAAAGCCAATGCTAGTCTTAGTCTTCTTCTGATACATCTTCTATAATATTCAATGATCCATACCAAAGTAATCTGGATTAAAATAGAAAGTCCTAAAATCACTATTAACTAGGAGAGATAACTCAAAACCTATCTTATTTAGATCAATACTGCATTCAAGAGGAAGAGGAAGATTATCAGCAACATACAATCATTGAAAATAATACCACCGACTCAACAATTGGAGGTTATTATTGTGCAGCAGATGGACTTTTTTATGAGAACCCAAACACAGATTTTTAGAACTGGGATTTCCATCCTAATGATCCAGAGGAACCGAGTCAATTCAATTACTCTGCTTCAATTGAATCTCTTAGAATAACTTTAAACACATACATGAAGAAGTAACTTAAGACACCTTTTTAGGCAAATTTTAAAAAAGCTGTAGTTCAAGTAAATAAACTTAACAATGTCGATGGGGATGTAACATACTTTGATGATTTTTTAAGAAATGATATTCTTGATGATAATTCAAAGGATAAACCATAATTAGAGATTGATTTTCATCAAGTCCTGAACACTTAATGCAGCAAATTTCTTGGACGAAAATATATAACAAAAAAGCATAATACTTGGTTGAATCAGGCAAGATTAGAATAATTTCATAAGACTAGAGATTTTAGAAAACTTTGTCGAATTTACTTTCACATTGATCACTCATAAACACTTATGAATGAAGGTGTTTACCCTTGTTTTGTCGTTACTAATAAACTAGTCATTCCTCCTAAGTCTAAAACCAATAATAATCAGAATGAAAATGTGCAAACTTCACGCAAATTGCTGAATAAATTATATAAGAAAAAGCTAAAAAAATGAGTGATGCTTGTTGGCACAAATAGTGTCTAAGTATCAGTTAATAGTGTACTTTCTCCACCAAATAATTCGAATATTTCACTATCCCCATACTAAAACGACCCCAAACGATTAGACCATTAAAAGCACTCGTTACCAACTAATTTCACTCTAAGTTTAAAAGACCTTCTATCCCCCAAAAAAAAAGATGAGGAATTCTTTTCATTTTCTTAAAAAAATAGCAAGCTAACTTCTCCAATTAATGCTAATATTAAACAGCCACTCATTTCAAAAAGGCTTTCTAACGCTATGATTCTACCTTTAAATACTAACATAATTCCATTACAATTCTATGAACACACTGCTTAATAATAGACATTGAAGCCTTAATAGTGCAAATAGGATAATACTAATATTCTCTAGTATGCTAAAAAGGGTTTCATGATATCGAATATGAAATATATTAACTGATAAGAGAATAGTTATGAAACAAGCTTAAATATGAATATCAATCATCATTAAAATCTGCCCACATAGGGTTTGAAAATAACAAATTCCTAAATCCCTCCTAAACCATAAATAAGTAATAAAAATGTCAGATTGAAGACTGAATCTTTAAATCAACTATCAGAAACAAAAACATAACTGAAAGAAAAAGATAAAGATTCAAAAGACCCAAAGAATTAATATCCAATGATAAGATTTGATAATAACCCAGTTGTAAAAATTGAAGAGCTTCTAACAACAAATGGCTAGAAAGATGCTAGACTTTTTGACATGCTAAACTAACTTTACTTAAGAAATCAATTTGAGAAATGCTAGTTATTCCAACAATTCTATATTAAAAAAATGCAGGAAAAATAGTCAATTTTGCAAAAATCAAAAGAAATTCCTTTGAAATTTTCCAGTGCAAATAACACATCATCTGACTTTTATCATTAATAAAGCTTGTCTAAGCTGACTAATCCAAGTTTAAACGCGAATAGCATAAGTAAATAATCTCAGTATAAGAGTAATCAAACAGTTCATAGTGTCTATCTTAATAATTAATCTCGACTTGATACAGCCATAGGCACTAAGCTAACCATAGTTTCAAACAATAATCTATCAAAAGTAAGTAATGAAATGTATGACACTGAGAACTTTATCACTAATAAAGTCAAAATAATGAATACATAGATGCTAGAAACCCATGATAATCCATATAAGTAGGTCTAATATGAAACTAATATTCCAAGCTTTAATGAAGCAACACCTGATTTCAAAACTAATAAAAGTAGTTTGCCCTAGATTCCTAGTTCAAAGTATTCCAAATTTTGTTAAGAAGATTAAGTACGAGCATAAAATGCAAATACGAAGATTAGAACTAAGATATAAACATCAATAAAACATAACTAGCCAAATAAGAAGCTAGTAGATATACTTAGAAATCAAAATAATGCTGCTCTTAATCTAAATAAATGAGATATAATACAAGAGTTATGCTATCATCATATTGAACTATTATATGAGTATACCTTAAGAATAACAACAATTATAAGAATGTCTAATTAATAAGGGCAAGACCTTCCATTTCATCATAATCTCCTTCTCCCTTTATATTTTAAGTTAAGTACTACTTTCGAAAATTTCACTTAAATTAGACTTCATGGGGTTTTGGGGTTTTGGGGTTTTGGGG